AAGATACAGTTTTCTAGCAATGAGGATAAGTTATGTTTTGAATGACTCCTCCAGAGAAATGGGAGAGTTTTTCTGTTCTGGACAGTTTATAAGGAATAGCCTCTGCTTTTATGAGTTTAGTTCCTTTGAGAAATTCTGGGATGTGACAAGCTGTGTGTCTGTGTGTGCATCCCTTCCCTCGTGCATGTCAGGGAGAACAGCAGGTCTGTGTGGAGGTGCTGGTTACAGTCACTTCACTCAGATTTTACCACTAGAGTCTGAGCAGGACTTTGTGCTTCCTGCACATTGGCTGAGTAAATCCTGGTGGATTTCTGGGGTGATTTTAAATCATCAGAAACTGGAAGGATTGGAGATAATAATATTTTGAAATTGGTGTTTTATAGAAAGTTTTCCTATCGTGTAATGTAAAAGTGTAATAGATTGTGTAGTGTAATGTAATGTGAAAGTTTCCTTGTTGTATAATGTATATTAGACACTGAGTTGGGCTGAACGCCAAATTTGCAGTTAAGAAAGAATTTTCTCCAGCCCCAGTTGCATGGAATGTTGCAGGAGGGTGTTCTGTGGCACAGGCAGTGTAATTGAAATCTGGCTGTGGGCATCCCTGCAGGCATTTGGGTTTAGGGTTCTGAGGTCCTCTTTATCCAGAGGATTCTCTGTTCCCCTCGTGGCTGGGCTTTTGGGGCTTTCCTCATGTACAGCTCCTCTTCCCAGGCTGTGGGATAAACCAGGCATGAGCCTGTCTGAGAATCACAGAATCGTTTGGGTTGGAAAGTCCCTCTGAGCCTGTGGGGTCCAGCCATTCCCCAAGCACTGACAAGGCTACCACTGACCATGTCCCCAAGTGCCACGTCCACAGGGCTGTTAAATCCCCCCAGAGATGGGGACTTCCCCCTGCCCTGTGTAACTGTGCCAGAGCTGGACAGCCCTGTCAAGGAGGAATTTTCCCAATATTCAACGTCTTGCACAACCTGAGGCTGTTTCTTCTTGTCCTGTTCTCTGGGAGAGCTTGCAGGAGTTGGGACATCACAGAGAGACTGTTGCCACCAGAATGAGGGAGGATTGTTCATGGCTCTGAGGAAGCATTTGTAGATTTTCAGGCATTTTTGTAGCTTTCTGAAGGCACAGACCAGTAGGGATTATGGGGATAGTAAGGGAAAGTCTTGCTGCTGTCTTAGTGGGAGGAAAGTTTTTACTGGGAGCAGTGAAAACTGGTGATGACTAATGAGGGTGAAGCTGCCCTGGGGCTTGTCCTACTTGCACTGGCTTTGCTGTTCTCACTTTCCCAATCCTGCAGCCACGACTCAGGTGTGCTCTGCTCACCTCCTTCCCCAGTGGAAGCTGGACCAGCTCCTGTTCCATGGGTGGGATCTCACTGTGCTCTCTTTCCCAGAGTGTGGCTGACTCCTCCTGGATCACAGAGCTGCTCTGGACCTTCTTTGTTCCCTTCACAGTTTATCAAGTAAGGTACTACGTCTCTCTCTTCCGTTTGGGGCAGGGTTGAGGGTGGGCAGGTTTGAGGGTGGGCAGGGCCGCGGTGTCACTGTGGCAGTGAGAGCTCCACTCCAGGTTGCCTCAGCAGGGCTGGGCTCAGCAGCATTTGAGCCTGGCTATGTCCAGCTCCTGGACCAGCTTCTGATGTGGAGAGAGCTTCTGGTTCTTATTGGGGAAACAAAGGAGTCTCATCTCTCCAGGAGTTCAGGTTTCCAGGTGTATTGTTAAGGCTGGTCTGCAGTGATGCTCTCCAGGGCTGCTCAGCCCAGCAGTGCTGACCCCCAGTGTTTCTGTCTGTCCCTACGATCCCCTGGGAGTGGGGTGGTCCAGGGGGATGGTGCAGGGGTGGTCCAGACCCCTGCCCAGGGCCTGGCTGAGGCCAGGCTGGCTGAGTAGCTTTGCTGTAATGAGGGCAGTGGAAGGGACTGGGAATCAAATGTAGGGCTTGGTGTATTTCAGCAAAGGAAAGCCTTTCCCTGGTTCTATCTGTCTGAATTCTGGGTGACCTGTTTTCTACTTCCATGTAAATGGCCAAGGATCCTCGTTAAGGCCTTTTTGGGAAATGCAGATCCCCCGTGTTACACTTGAGGGCTAACAGAGCTCCAATGAGCCAGTTCTGTCTTGTGCCATGCCCTGGATTTGGGAGTGGGTGTTGGGGTTTGGTGCTCCTGCGGGATGAGCAGGGAGCATGAAGGCGTGGATGGCATGGCTGTCCCTGGCAGGGTGTCCCCAGGGGCTGCTCCCTGCAGGGCTGGCTCCATGTGCTCTTGTCCCCACTCAGGTGGATGCCGTCTGTCCCCAGACGAGCGGACGAGCAGGTTGAGGACTTTGCGCTCCGAGTTCAGGAGGTAGGAAGGTGGTTTGGGAGGGAGAGGGATGTGTAAGACTGCTGCACTTTAGGGTGGGCACAGAGGAGAGCAGGGTGCAGGCAGAGTTGCAGAGGGCATTTCTGGATGTGTTTGTGTGATGGGAGCTCTGGTACATATTTATTGCCGCTTGCAAGAACTCAGTTATTTCGTGATCGATTTGCCACCCCACATTGAGCCTTTCTGCAGTTGTCGAAGTTCAAACCTTTCACCCCCTTTTTATAATGCCACAAATCAAACAAAGTAGTTGTTTCTTCACTCTGCCCATGTGTGCTGGGTACTTCACAGCTCCAGACACCTCATATCTCCTTGTCAGCCTGTTTGGCAAGATGATATTGCTATTCCTGGTCCTTTTTGTGCTCTCTGCAACACTGAAATGCATCCCAGAGGCTCTCTTGCCCTCGCCGTGGCTCCATGTACCCTGACACGCTCCCCAGTGTGGAGGGGCTGCCTGGGCTGTTTGTGTTGTGTATTTTTGTGTGTGACTCCTCTGCGTTCTGCAGCTCTTGGCCATGGAGCTGGGTGTGGTATCCACACGGATCACCGCTGCCGACAGGACCGAGCACATGAAGAGGCTGAGGCACACGGCACGGCTGCCCTTTGCCCCAGGTGAGGGTCCTGGTTACAGAACCTCAGCCTGGGCTCTGCTTTTGGGGGGTTCTCTGTCTGCTCTTAGTGACAGACAGCCCCTCACCCTGTGCCCACTGTCCTTTCTCCTGCAGCCTTGAGCCAGAGCCCAGCAACCCGGCCCAGGGTGCCCCCCAGCCTGCCTGGGGGTGCTCCCGAGGACGTGCGGGTCGTGGCCATGGCACAGCAGGTCAAGGAGGTGCTGCCTCACGTGCCCTTGGACGTCATCAGGACAGACTTGGGTGAGCAGGGACTGGGCTGGCAGCAGGGATGTGGTCTGAAAGAAAAAACCTTGTCCCCACTGCACTGGAACACACTGGCAGCCAGTTTGGAATGTCCTGATCTCTAACGGGTCCCTTTGTCCCCACAGTCCAAACCAACTGTGTGGACACCACCATTGCCAACTTGCTGGAGGGGAGAGTTCCCTTCTTCCCTGAGAGTAAAGAGGCTGGAGACCTGCCTGCCCCGTCTACCTCCCAGGCTGCAGCTGCTTCTGGCATCCAGGGCTCTGTGGCTGCGCCTTCTTCCAAGGTACTTTGGGGTTGTGTCTGTCTGCTCTGGTGGCTCGTGTTCAGGACTAGCCAGGGGCATGGAGCACCAGCCTGGCATGCCAGGTCCTTCCAGAGCCACCAAGGAGGCTTTATCTGTCTCCTGTCTCTTCTAGCCGGCTACAAAGCAGTTTGCAAAGTCCCCCGTGGAGCGTCACCTGTCCTTGCAGGAGAGGAAACGAGCCTTGTACGACTATGCCAGGAGGTGAGAGCCCCCCACACGTCCCCGTGCCAGGGCCACACAAAATCTCCCCCTGCCCAAGCCCCCAGATCCCAGGCACTGGGCTCTCCAGTGTAACTCTTGGCTAACAGGAGCCCCCGTGGGACTGGGTTTCTCTGGGGTCCCACCGTGGCACCCTCGGTGTGGGCAGGACATTCCTGTTTGGCACCAGTACCAATCCTCCTTGGTGTGAGGGCACAGGGAGCGAGTTTGATCTCTGTACAGAATTTTCATGAGGCAAATCCTGGCACAAGAAGCCAGTTCTGGTGCGTGGGTCTTGGTTGAGGAAGATATAGAAAATTGAGGATGTGTCTGAGGGGAAGTTGAGTGTGCCCGGGTTTGTTGGGCACAGGATGGCTGGGGTGGTGCTGAGGGAACCATCCTGTTGGGAAACTGGCTGGGATCTGCTGGGGCACAGGGACTCCCGTGGGTGGTCCTGCGGGACTCTGCAGCTCCTCACTGCCCTCGCTTGGTCCATGCTCCATCAGGATTGTCCCCAGCAGGGACTGTAACTCCCCTGTGGCCCTTTCAGAGCAGTTCCTGCTGCTGTCACCCGTTTCCCTGGGCTCCAGGCGAACTTGGAATGAAATGGGTCTGATCAGAGCTAGCGTGCAGCCAGGGAGTGCCCGGCCCTAGGGTTTCCCCGGTTCCCGGTCCCTCGGCGCTGCTTCGTGGCCACACAGGCGATCGATCCCGGGCTGGGTTCGCGGGAGGCCGCTCGGGTGGTCCCAGCCCCGCGGTGTCTGAGGGCCCTCTCTCCCGCAGGCGCTTCGCTGAGAAGCACGGCGCGGCAAGGGCCGGCGGCAGCCCCTGACCGGGTCGGACCGGGCCGGTGGCAACCCCTGACCGGAGCCCCGAGCCGGACTGGACCGGGCCGGGCCGGGCCGGTGGCACCGGGAGCGCGCGGGCCCCGCGCGGACGGGACGGGACGGGCGGGGCGGGCGCGCCCCCTGGCGGCGGAAATAAACGGCGGCAGCGTCCGGCGCGGCTCGGGCTGTGCGGGCACCGGGGCGAGGGGCGGGGCCAGTGTGGGGAAAGGGGCGGGGGGCGGGGCCGGGCCGGCTCCGTGCGGGTCTGCACGCGCCGCAGCCGACGCCTGCTCGCGCGCCGCACGTAGGCGCCGCTTAAAGAGGCAACGCGGCGGGGCCGCCGCCCCCGCGGCCGGGCGAGCTGCGGCTCGCGGGCCCCAGCGGGCGGAGCCAGCGCCCCTTTAAGAGACCGGCGGCCGGTGCCGGTGGTTTTATTTACATGGGGGCTCGCGGGCGTCACGTGACTGTCAGCGGCGGGGGCTGCGCGCGGAGCACCCGCGGGGCCATGGCGGGAGCCGGCGACGACGGTCCGGGGGGAACCGGGGCACCGGGGCGGGATCGGGGCGATGGGACACCCGGGCGCGCCGGGGAACCGGGGGGTTCGGGACAATGGGAGATCCGGGCGGGCCAGGGCACCGCGGCGTTTGGGACAGTGGGGGGGAGCCCGGGGATCAAGGGGTTAACGTGCACACGTGGGGGTCTGGGTAACCGGGAGTCCCGGGTGGTTGATGTGCACTGGGGATGGGGAGTGGGTCAGTGGGAAGCCCAGGAGGGGTTTCTGGGGAGGCTAACGTGCGCCAGGGACCGGGGAGCACGGGGATCCCGGGCAGGCTGGTGTACACCAGGGGTTGGGTCAGTGGGGGCATCAGGGGGGTGATGAGCACCGCGGGGGTGGGGGCAGAAGCAGATGCAGGTCCCGGGTCGGAGACTGCACTTGGTGTTCCTGCAGTCTGCAGGCAGGGGTGTGGGGTGTGCCGGAGAGGGCTCCTGGCCGGGATGGGATGGGATACACGGGTGGGCTTGGGGCAGCGCAGGGGCTGACAGCCCCTTCAGGCTCCTGGGTGGAGCTGCGGTGTGGCCCAGGCTGCCCTGAGCCCGATCTGGCACCTTCGCCGTTCTCCTGCCACGCCGACGTGGAGCAGATGCTGCTGGAGGCCCAGCTGGAGACAGAGAGCAGTGACGGGTGAGTCCTGAGGGGGAGCCAGGCTCCAGAGCCCTGCTGAGCTGTGGCTGGCACTGGGAGCCACAGGCTGGGCTCAGTAACTGAGGGTTTCTGTTTGCAGGGCCCTGCTCGTGCTGGGATCCCCAGCCTGGGATGACGACGGAGCCAGCCATGGGAGTGATCAGCCAGGGGAGAGTGAGGTGCTGCCTGCCCACAGCCAGCCCCCACCCGGCTGCCCCCACCCCCGGCAGGTGAGGGAGCTGCTCCCACCACACCCTGCTGTGCCCCCAGGCCCTGCTCTGACCCTGCCCTGTGTCTCCTTCCAGTGGGATGTGCCAGAGGAAGCCAAGTGGAGGCAGCGACGCCTGACAGCGTCCCTGGGCTGGGCCTGTACCCGCTGCCCTCGGTACCTGTCTCCAAAGTAAGTCCTGTGTCCCTCACCAGCACAATTCTGCTGGCCCCCATCCTGCTGTCCCTGTGTCCCTGTTAACCATGAACTTTCTCCAGGGAATTTGCCTTTGTGTGCTCCCCCCAGCCAGTGCTGTGGAGCCTGCAGGAAGGTGCAGTGGGGAGGAAGAAGAAACTTTTCAGTTCAGAGCTGCTGCTGCTCTTCATCCCCTCGCTCCTGCTCAGCCACCTGCTGACCCTGGGGCTGGGGTGAGTGTCTGTGGGTCTCACCATGGCGCTGGGGGAGGAGAGAACACTCCTGCATTGGGGCTGCTCATCCTTGGGTGCTGTCACGTACCACTGCTCCCAGCAGCTGCAGTGGTCTGCTGCCATCTCCCCTTGTTCCTGGCTTGCTGGGGCCCAGCACCCTATACCAATGCCTCACAGTCACTCTTTCCAATCCAGGATCTACATTGGGAAGCGCCTGGCAGCCTCTTCGGCCAACCCTCTGTGAGGAACTGGGCAGGCAGCACCCGCTGCTCCGTTGGGAATGCGGGGAGAGCCCGGCCCCAGTGCAGCCTGACCGCTCCCAGGCCTCCTGTTTATGGGGCCTTCTCCCCATGTCTCTCCCTCAGCCCTTGCCTCGGGAGCTGATCCCACTCTCTCCCGTAGATCGGAACCCACTGATGGCAGCTCCCAGCTGCAGGCAGCCCCTGCCCTCCCCAGCCCCTGGTTACGGGTCCAGATCCCCCTGTAACAGTTTGTAAATAAAACTGAGCCCACCTGAATAAAGAGCCCTTTGTCAGCTCAGGGGCTGAGCAGTGAGTCCCCTCCTTCTGTCTGGCCAGCACAGCCTGGCTGGGAAGTGACCATTTGGCTCGCTGGGGCACCTCCCTGCAGCAGGAGGGCAAGTCCCTGTGCTTTGGGGTGGTGCCAGCTGGGGATGAGCCCCTGGGGGACTTTGGGCAAGCAGGAGTGGGTGATGGGGCTCACACGGGTGCTCAGCCCCCCACAGGTGCCCAGTTGATGCATTTGTCCTTTATTAGCCGTGGCTGCAGTGCAGAGGCAGGAGCTGAGCGTGACATGGCCAGTCAGGGCAGTGACACCTGCGTGGTGCAGGTGTGGGCAGGGGAGGTGGCACTGCAGAGCTTGAGGCTGCCAGGGCCCGTGTGCATACCTGGCTGGCTCCTGTGCAGTCCGGGCCAGGAATGTGTCCTGGTGCTGCAGGATGTGGTGGGCAGCCAAGGGATGGGAGCTGTCCCACGAGTGGGGAGCAAGAATCATGCAGAAACGCCACTGGGAAAGTCACTGAGGGGAGCAGGAATCATGCAGAAATGTCACTGGGGAAGTCACTGGCTCCCTGCCACTGGCACAGTCTGTGGGCAGCTCAGGTGGACAGAGGGGTGTCCTCATGGCTGGGAGGGGCTGCATGTGTGTGATCTCAGCATGGCATAGGAAGCATCCAGAGCCAGGTGGGTCCCAGGGAACACCTGGAGGGTGGCAATAGCCAGAGCTGGCAGGACACGGGGTGGCAGTGCCTGGTACACACACAGGGAGTCCCATGGCCATGTGGGATGCTCTGGGTGTCAAGAGGTGCTCCAGCAGGTGAGAATCAAGCAGGGCTGTGGGTCCAGCAGCTGGCTGGGCACTCTGGGCAGGGGTGGCCCCTGCAGACAGTGCAGCTGCAGGTGGTGTCAGAGCTGTGACAGTCGCTTGGACTTGGGTGGTGGCAGTGGCGGTGACTTGAGGCTTCTGTTCCCGTCCACTGTCGGGGATGTGGACGCCTGCAAACAGAGAGGGATGTGAGGGGTGGTGGGGCTGGGGGCCAGGGCCAGCCAGTGGCTCCCCTGCAGTACCTTCCCTCCTGCTGCAGCATCGCTCTGCTCCAGGAATGTCTCGTACACCGCAGCGCTGAACTTGCGGGGCAGCGGTGGGAGCTTGCTGGCGCTTCTCACGCGGCCTCCAAAGCCGGTGGGAGACAGACATGAGCCTGTGCAGGCAGGAGAGGTGGGATGGAGGCTCAGCCAGCCTGGGGGTGCATAGGGCCCATCACTGTGCCCAGGGCTGTCAGGGCCAGCGCTCCTGCCTACGGGAGTGTGGCAGTGCTGGGCAGAGGGGACAGAGGTGCTATAGGACGTGAGCCCAACCAGGAGCAGGGGGCTGGCTCCCACCAGAAACAAGACCCAGTGGCACAAGGTCCAGGATCTATGGCTCCATCCCCACAGCGAGTGTTCAGCAGGGGACATGCCTGTGCTCCCACTCTGTGCCACCACAAGGGGGTGAGGGGACCTGTGCTGGGAGTGGTGTGGGAGGGCACAGCCCTGCTCGTGGGGCTACAGGCACTGTCAGGAAGGTGGCCTGGCAGGTTGTACCTGCAGCGCTAGGCTGAGCACCGGCAGCAGCTCGGCTTGCCGGGGGCTGTTTCCCATCAGTGCTCAGGCTGCTCTCACTCATGTTGCAGGAGAGTCTCCACTTCTCATCCTAGGGCACAGAAGGAAGGCTCAGCACCTCGGAAAGCCAGGCTGGATGATAGCCCCTGCAGCCCTGAGCGTCCAGCCTTGTGCCCTCCTGCCCTACCTACAGCAGGAGCTGCTACTAGCCCCTCGAGGGATCCCATCCACACTGAGGGCTGGAGCTGCAGGCAGGGCCAGGGGCTCTGGGTACAGCAGGACACCCAGGGGAGTGCGAGCAGGGAAGCACCAGGGCTGTGCTGAGCATCACCTTGGGTTCTGGCAGCTCCGACATGGACTGGCGTGGTTCCTGCCGCCGGGGCCCAAAGATGGAGCTGGCGCGGTTCTCCCTGCGCTCGTTCCTGTGGTCCTCACTCTCAGAGGGGCGGAGGGCAGGCTTTGGGGTTGGGGGTGCCTCCATGCTGTGGGGTGACTGGGACAGGTGAGGGGCAGCAGGGGAAGGAGGAGCAGGGCTATGCCATGGACCAGCTGGAGCATCGCTGAGAGCAGCTGCACTCAGCCAGGCACCATCTACGGCAGAGCTCAGCAGGGGAGGTTTGGGGCACTAGAGGGGATGGCTCAGGTGACAGCAGTGTCCAGGTGAGCCTAGGGAGGTATGGGGTATCTCTCCTCCATGCCCCCCATAGGGACAGGACCACCTGGCAGGACAGACCCCTGAGATGCACTTGGCATAAAGGGAAGGTAGAAGGGCAGAGGACTGGGGAGGTGGGAGAAAAGCTCCGGGGCCAGAGTGAGGAAGGCTCAGCAGGGAGGGCTGAGGGGATGAGAGGGGACAACCAGCACTCCCCAGTGCAGCACTTGCCTGGCTCTAGCGTGGCTCAGCTGGTCCCAGTCAGGTACCCAGGCTATGGACCGGGGTCGGCCACTCCGCCGGTCCTCAAAGAACATCTGAGAAACAGCCAGGAGGGATGAGAGGGTAGAACCACCCCCAGTCCTTCCCTGGGCTCAGCCAGGGCCATCAGTCCTGCTTCTGTGCCAGTGCCAGCCACCCCCAGCAGTGCTGTGTCCCCTTCTGGGGCAGGCAGGAACCCTGACATCCCCCACACCCAGTGCTCCTCACCCTGTTCCTGTCCCAGCTGTGGCCTCAGCCAGCTGCTCCCTGCTGCCCCACACCTCCATTGGCTTGCCCAGTGTCCCCCATGGTGCCAGGCACTGCCTGTGACCCCCAGCCGTGCCCATGCCCACCGTGGCACTCACCATCTCACGCACCCCGTACTGACTCTCCACCTTGGCCCGCAGCTGCTCAAAGCACTGCTCCATGCGCTCGTGGAAGGGCCGCAGGTCGTCTGTCACCTTCTGCCCATGGATCCGGATGCCCTCTGCCAGCAGTGGGATCTGTGGGACAACGGGGACTCGTGGGACTCCCTGGGATGGGGAGGGACAGCGCACACCAGGGGCAGCTGTCCCTGTCAGAGGGATGCTGCACTTGGTACCTGCCAGGCGATCAGGTCCTTCAGCTTCTCGATGTTCCCTGCATCCTCAGGGTGCTCCTGCATGTAGGGCTCCTGGAAAAAAGCCTGCAACGACACTCCTCAGTCTCACTGCTGGGGATGGTAGAGTGGTGCTGGCCCCAACGCAGCCCCTGCGTGTCCTCACCTTCTCATACTTGGCAAAGCCACCCATGACTGCAGGGTCCACGATGCCATTGAGCAGCATGGAGAGAGGGTTGATGGGCAGGCTGGGGTCATTCTGGTGCCTGTTGATCTCACTCATTATTTTCTCGTTTGTTTTCATCATGGTCTCAATGGCGTTTTCCAGAGGGGAGATGATGATCTGTGCACAGGGAGGGGTCAACACTTGCTGGCACAGTCACCTGCCCCTCCTCCTTAAGGCTGGCAGGGTGGGCTTTCCCTAGCCCAGCAGGAGGGACCCCTGGGGCTGCACATCTCACCCCACGAAGCCCCTCAGACCCCTCAGGTGCCTGGGGCTGAGGGAGAGCTCATGCTGGCCATGCTGGTCCCTGCTCCCAGCACAGTCCCATGGGCACCGAGGCTCCAGTGAGGGTACAGGAAACCTGGCTAAGCACTGGTGCCACTTTGGGGGTGCAGCACAGAAGGGTGCACAGCCTGAGCACCACAGCAGACACACGTGCAGCACTCATGCAGCCATACATCCTGTGCCTGCAGCATGCTGTGACAGCCCACCAGGACATATCACATCTCCACTGCCATGGCTCCTGAGGCTCCCTGGATGTTGGCCGAGCACCCGCCTCTGACAGAGGAACAAAGCCCACGCACAGAGCCGTGGCAGCAGCTGCTGACACCCCTCCAGCGCCTCTGCTGCTCCTCACACACTGTCCCTGCTGCCCCTGGAGCAGGGCACAGGCAGGACACGCTCCCCATGCCCCATCTTGAGCTCCTGACAGGATCCTTGGAGGGCCCTGCTGCCCCCCCAGCCCCTTCCTCACCGTTTCAGTGGAGGTGACAACAAACCAGCGCAGGATGCCAGGCAGGGGATAGGCTGTTCTGAAGGTTGTCCGCTCAATCCACATGTTCTGTAGGAAGAGCAGCAGTCACTGCTTCCCATCCTTCTCCCATCACCCCTGGCTGTCCCATGGCATGGGGGGCTCCAACCTCCATGGGCACAGGACCACCACCTTCCCCATCCCAGGACCAGGAATCTCCTGTCTCTCTCCTGGACCTTCAGCTCCTTGTAGGCCCCCCCTCAGCTCTCCTGTCCCTCCCAGCTGAGGGTCCTGGCAGCTCCTCCCAGCACTCACTGCAAATTCATTGTCGGGATCGTTCGGGCCCCTCTTGAAAGGCCGTGAATAGCTGAAGCGCTGGATGTGGTTGGCTTTGTAGAAGCTGTGGGGAGGAAAGGGGCAGAGATGAAAGAGGATCCCCACTGTGTCCCACCCACCCACCCAGAGCAGAGCAGGGGCTCCCTGTGCTGGACACTCACTTGGTGATCTGCTCAGGGATGCTCCGGCCCTTGAGGCGGATCTTGGCTTCCTCTGCCGGCTGCACGGTGAAGCACTGGATGTCTGTGGGAGTGAAGGAGCCATGGGCACACACTGGAGGACAGGGATGCTGGGGAGAGGGGCTTCAGAGCCTTGAGGGGTGAACCCCAGGGGTAGACAGAGGTATTTAAGAATTCCCACATGGAGAGTGATGGACAGAGACCAAGCCACCCTCCCATCCCTGTGCACAGAGGATACACTGCCCTGGGGAGTCGGTGATGGCCTGGCCAGGGGGAGATGTGCTCTTCAGCTTCTCAGCATTGGGGAAGGGGCTCAGCAGCCGCATCTCAAAGTCCTCACGCCGCTCATACTCCTTGCCCCGGTAGATGAAGACCTTGTTCTGCAGGGTAGGAATGTGACAGCTCATCCCTGTGCCACAGAGCAGGGCCAGCAAGCCCCAGAGCACTGAGGTGCTGGTGCTGAAAAGGCTGAGCCCCCTGCCAAGCAGAAGACAACCCCCTCTAGAAAAAAAATATCGCCCCAAACCGAGGAGCTAGAGGAAAAAAGAAGGCACATGGAGAATCAGGATTGGTGGCAGCCAAGCAATGTCACTAAGGACAAATCCTGCCTGACAAATTTGGTGGTTTCTTCGAGGGCGTGGCAGCATGGGCAGACGGGAGGAGAGTGACTGGACTTGTGCAAACCATCTGACCTTGCCCCCAGGACACACATCCATCTCCAGGACAGACATGGATGCTGGGTAAGGAATAGGCTGGATGATGACACTCTGCGAGTTGTGGTCCACAGCTCCAGACCAGCGAGGAGTGGCTTTCCTTGGGTATTGAGGTGGCAGCTGTGGAGTTGCTCTTGGTTCTGCTTACCCGCAGGAAGGTGGGGAAGCCCTGCCCGTAGTACCCCACGGCAAAATAGTCTGGGCTGGGCCGCAGCACCTTCAGGATCTTCTCATAGAACTTGGCTTCTCGTTGCTGCAGAGGACAGGGGTAGGATGAGGGCAGGATGGGGCCCCCCATTCCCCCCAGCTCATCCCCACCATCCTGCCCTGCCAGCAGCAGCCCCAGCCCAGCCAGGCACCCACCAGGATGTCACTCAGCATTTCGTAGTCAAACAGGTGGCTCTCGTACTGCTCTGCCAGCTCCTTGCAGATGTGGATGGCCTCTTCCCACATCTGGAGAAGAGAGGGGCCAGGACAGGGCCCCCCAGTGCAGGGTGAACTGGGGAAGGGGGACCAGGGACTTCCAGCAGAGACCACCCTGTCCCCTGTGAGAAGGGGGAGAGGGCTCTCCTGTGGGGACTGCTGGTCCAGTGGGGCAGCAGAAGGACTTGGCTTCCCACCACCTCCAGCCCTGGATCCCCCCAGCCCACCCCGTCAAGCTTTTGTCCTGAGATGTCCGAGCTGCCAGCCCCTGGCAGTACAAGGACTGCACTGGGATGCCATGGGACAGAATGGGATAGGGATGGGATGAAGGACAGTGGGTGTGGGGTGAATCACCCAGCCCAGGCTCATTGCAGGGCAGCTCCAGCCCTTCTACAGCAGTGGGGAGTGAGGGGCTGTGCTGACAATGGGGTCTGGCAGCTTGGAACAGCAGGAAGTAGTGACAAGGGGACCAGGCTTGCCCTAAGCCAGCCCAGCTCCCTCCAGTTGCGGGGTTTCAGAGGCTGCAGAGTCTGTAAGGGCAGGTGGCCACACTCACCTTGCCCTGGTCGAAGTACTCGATGATCTGGTTGTACAGAGCCTCCTTCAGCTGGCGCTGAGTGTGCAGGTGGATGCTGTGTGGGCCTGGCACAGGGGCTGCATTCGACTCCTCTGACCACTGCAGAAGGGAGAGGGGACCTGTCACACCAAGCCCACTCCTCACAGCCCCCCCCGCATGCCCCGTGCCCACCGTGAGCAGCCGGGCGTGCAGCAGCAGCGTGTAGGCTCCCTCTGTGTAGTTCTCGTAGCTGATGTGCAGGTCCTTCAGCTTGTACAGGTACCTGGGAGTGACAGAACCGTGTGTGGGGAGTGACAGTCCCACGTGTGGGGCACAACAGTTCGCATAGTTTGGGCACAGGGCACCATCACCCTGCCCCTCAGGCCACTCTGCCAGCCCCATCCCGCTGGGAATGCTCAGGACCCCCCACCCCAGGTGCTGCCGGTGCTGCCAGGGCTGTGCTCACCTGATGTACATGGCCTGGCGGTCAATCTCCTTGTAGAAGTTCTGTGGAAAGGCAGATGAGGCTGTTTGAGTGGCCCCAGGGGTCGCACATGCCACAGCCCCCCACACTGCCACCCTCTGGGTCATGGTACTGCCAGGACTGTCCCCACACAGGGATGGGGTTGGCCATGGCCATGGGGAGCTGCACAGTGACTCCCAAGAGATGCCAGCTCTGGCTCCATGTGCACCCCCTCTCTGCTGTGCCAGGGGCACCCTGGGGACCTGAGGAAGCATGGGAACAAGCCCTAGTTGCCCCAGGGAGCTGAGGATGAGCCCTACCAGCCCCAGGGAGCTGGAGCAAGGCACAAGTGCTCACCAGGAGGTTGACAGTGCAGCTCATGCTGTAGGTCTTGTTCTCATCATTCATGACAGCCCGGTAGTCCAGGAGCCGCTCCAGGAGTTCACTCATCAGCCTCACAAAGTCCTCTCCAGGCTTGGCCAGCTCCGGGTGGCTCTGGCAGCAGCTCAGCAGGCTGGGGAAGAGAGGGGGCCACGAGTCCCACTGCACAGCCAGCTCTGCAGTGCTCCCACCATTGCCCTGCTCAGCACCAAAGGGCAGGGACAAAGCCTGGGCAGAGCAGGGGCATCACCCAGGGCGGGAGTAATTCCTGGGGCACAGATAACACCCGGGGCAGTGGCATCACCTGAGACAGGAGTAATTCCTGGGGCACAGATAACACCCGGGGCAATGGCATCACCTGAGACAGGGGTCTCACTTAAGGCATAGGGTAATTCCTGGGGCAGCACAAGGGTAATTCCTAAGGCAGGGGTGTCACCGGGGACAGGACCATCCCCTGGGGCAAGCAGGGGAAGGGAGCACACGATGGTGCTCAGGTATCAGCCTTCCTCCTCGCCTTTTCCCTGTGGAACACTCCGAGCCAGGCACAGAGTGAGGAGGAGTGGGATGGCCGGGAGGGGTGACAGTAAAGGGTCGTGCCCTGGGGAGAAGGTGGCAGGGATGTCGCTGCACACTCACATGCTCTTGAAAAGCTGCATGTACTGCTCGTCCCCCCGGCCGCCCTCCACCTCGCTGTCCAGCCTGCGCAGGATCTCATCCTCAAACTGCAGAGAGGGGATGAAGATGGGCTGAGCTCAGAGACCATCCTAAAGGGACGGCTCCCGTCCCTGCTCCCTGGCCGTGCCACTCCCCTGCTGTGGGTGGTTCCCACAACATCCCAGCCCATCCTGCTCCTCCAGGAGCAGCCTTGGCTCTCACCCGGCTGAAGCTCCCGGTGAGCCGGTGCTCGCAGAGCATCATGTCGAAGAAGATGGGGATGGTGGATTTGCGCAGCTCCAGCTCCGGCACCAGCGTCATCTCCAGGATGGGACCCACCATACCCGGGATAAACTCGATCTTGCGCTGGCCTAGGAAGACAGGGAGAGCTGGGTGGGGGTGGATCCACACCCATGCAGGCTCCCATGTCCAAACCAGCAAAACCCCGCTCCCCACACCCACTCTGGAGACAGTGCTGATGGACCCAAAATTTTTTTGGTACCCAAAAATCCCCCATCACTGCACACCGTGGCTCACCGAGGCTGTACCACATGTCCCGGATGGATGCTCCGATCGTGGCTCTCATGTCCCCGTACCTGTCGGGACAGAGATCTGTCAGCATCGCTCTGCAGCCCCGGGTGTGCACAGCCCAGCTGGCTCATCCCAAAAATCCCTGACCTCGTGGCATGGTGGCAGCCCGGGGCAGGGACCCGAGGTCGGGCGGGGTAGGGACTCACTTGGCCAGGATACTGTTGCGTTTGGCCGGGGAGAAGTTCTCCAGCTGCAGGGAGTCCTGGGTGAGGAAAGCCACGGCCAGGTGGAAATAGTTGTTCCAAAGCTGCAGTGGAAGCACAGCGATGAGTGCCAGGCTGGGTCCTCTCCTGACCCACCTGGCCCGAAGCAAGACTGAGGCAGAGCCCACCCACCTGCAGCTCGAAGTCGCTGTCGCTCAGGAACATCTCGGTTAAGGTGGTGGCAAAGTGGTTGATGGCACGCAGGAACTCCCTGGGGCGAGTGAGCACTGAGTGAGGGCAGCACCAGCATGCCCACTGCCCAGCCTGGTGTGCCCATCATCACACAGAGGGGGGAGATCCTTTGTGCCCACTTCAGTGCACCCACACACTGTCCAGCACACCAGTCCTGCACATCCAGAGCCATGCTCCAGTGTCCACCTGTCCCGAGGCTTCCCAGGTGCTCACATCCACCCCAGCATCCCCCTGCAGGTCTCTCCCCAGGCCCTCACCGGTTCTGCACCATGTTCATCACCACCCAGTCACTGGGATACACTGTCTTCCCAATCAGGTCTTTGAAAAGGATAAAAGTCTCCATGAGGAAGTCCTGCAAGGGAGGGAGAGATATCAGGAGCTGGGCTGGACTGCAGTGCCCTCCGGGGGATGCTGTGAGGGAGGTGCTGATGCCAGAGGGCTCGGTGTTGCCGTGGGGCAGCACTCACCATCAGCTCAGGCCGGGAGGGGAATGCCTGGATGTAGGTGCTGTAGTGGTCCTTGTCCATCTGGCTCAGGATGGTGGCCATGCAGGCCACGTAGTGGCTCTAGGGGAGAGGAGCTGGTCAGGCCCTGCTGGTTCCTGCAGCTGCACCATGGAACAGGACACTGTCCTTGTTCCTCCAGTCAGTTCGTAACCCAGAGCCCCAACTGCCTTGGGGTCTGTTCACCCCCACCTTCTCTGATCCCCAGACCTCTTCTTCTGGCCCCTTCAGGTCCAGTTCCCAGACTGTGTATTCTACCATGATGCCAGGGAATGCAGGTATAATAAAAGAGTGGTGCTGAAGCACCTCTGTTATTTTTGAGATAATTTAAGGCCATCTGTGGATGTAAGGGCATTTTGAAAATGGCAAGCAGGTCCCTTCTGGAGTGCCTCCAGTGAAGGGTCGCAAATGGAGTCCTCAGCTCCACTCCAGGAGGCTCCCAGCTTTGTATCAACACCAGTGGAGTGTGCATGAGCAGGATGCTGCCCAGAAAGCTGACCCAGAGACACATCCGAGGCTGGAAACTACGGGAAAGAGCAGCTGTTTCTGGGGTAAGAGCATCGTCTGGCGCGTTCAGGAGGAGTGATGGCCCTGCCATGCCCCGGTGTCACTGATAGAACTTTGAGGATGGCTTCAAGTGCCAACCCATCCCCAGAGACTGCCGTGCCGTGAGCCCTGTGAGGGCAGCACCGGACTCCGGGCACCACTGCCCATCCCTGCACCTTCCAGCTCGGGCAGGGTGGGCACTGCCAGAGATTCCTCCTGGATTCCGGAGCCTCATTGCAGCCCCAGGCCACACTTTACCAACTATATGCAGACCAAAGCAGACTATTCGGGAAGGGATGTGACTGCTGCTGGTGGCCAGGGGCTCTAGCTTCTCACCATCAGGGATCTGCTCGGCATGGGGCGTAGCCCACCGAGGGCTGCCACGGAGAAGCAACGTGCGCCCACGGCCAGCCCTCGCTACGAGGGGTTTGCACGGAATTCTCTTGTGCAAAGCAAACGGATCAAACCCCACCAGCTCCCGCTCCTTCGGGAATCCATGCGGTGCTACAGCCCCGCGGCCACCCCGCCGAGCACTGCCCCGCGCAGCAGCACCGGCACAGCGGGGGACCGGGACATGGAGCCACGCACCGCTCCCGGTGCCGGGACCTCGGCTCCTCCAGGGCTCCGGGGCTCGGCTCCCGGGCGCGCTCCCCACCGCGGGGCTCCGCCCCCCGCCCCGCTCCGCCCCCGCCGGCTCCGCCCCGGTACCGGCGAGCGCGCGCCGCCCCGCCCCGCCCCGCCGAGCCCCGCGCCCGCCGCTGCCGGACCCGCGCCGCTGCCGCCGCCGAGCACCAGGTACCGGGCGGGATGGGGAGGGGGCTCCGCCGGGGAGCAGGGCGGAGGCCGGACCGGGTGCTGTGGGTATCGGCCCTCAGGCGCCGGCCGGTACCGGGACCCCGGGTGGCCTCGCGGCCGGGGCGTGGGAACCCCGGGGCTGGGAGCGGCGACATTGTGCGGGGAGCCCCAAACCGGGACTGCGCGGCGGTGCGGGGACCCCGGGGGCGCGGGAGCGGTGCGAGTACCCTTGGCCAGTGGGATGCGCGGGGGCCGGCGGGGCCGTGGCGAGGAGCCGAGCTGGGCTGGCGAGGGGGATCCTCAGTGTCCCCGGATCGCCGGGGGTCGCGGCACCTCCCTGTCCTCCTCTCCTTTGCTCCTGGCGAGCAGGAGCTGCCCGGGGAACTGCTGGAGGCACGGAGACGGTGGCACCGCGCACCGAGCATCCTACGGCAGGCACCGTGCGCCGAGCACCCCGCACCGAGGGTGCACCGAGCCCCCTGCGCTGGGCACCCCGCACCGAGGTGGCCGCCGGCTGCCGTGGCGGGGGTCTCTAGGGGACACAGCCGTTCTGGAGCGGTGACACGGTGTATAGCCTATAGAGATCCATCTATGGTGGGAGCTGCAGCGTTAGAGGGGCCGAAGACCCCCACGTCGTGCCGCGGTGCCGCAGCCTCGCCCTGTCCGCCCCGGCCCGTGGCCCCGCCGCTCGCTGGGTCGCTGCGTGCTTGGAGCCGCTCTAGGGAGCAGCCAGGCGGGCTCATCTCCGCTCCCCCTCGTCAGGAACGCGTCCGTCAGCCGGGGCTGTGCCGGGTGACACACGCACACGCAGATCCATCCAAGGATGTCACTTTCGGTACCGCGCGCCGCGGTGACGCCGGCCGGGGCTGGAGGGATTCAGCCCACGTTGCTCCCGGCAGCTCCTGGCGCCGCGTTCCGCGCCCAAGGCCTTGTGTCCGCCGGCGGAGATCCGGGAGGCGGGAGCGAGCCCCAGGCAGTCCCGCGAAATGGGGATGCGCCGGTCCCTCCCGGGGTGCTCCGGTCCCTCTCGGGATGCTCCGGTCCCGATCCTCCCCGCGGGAACGTACACAAACCCCGCTGGAGCTGCGGCTGCCGGCAGCGATGCGGGAGAGGGGCCGAGATCTCCGCGGAGCTGGTTTCGTGTTTGGGAGCACGAGGTGGACACGTATGAGTAACCACCGGGCCCCGGCTGTGCCAGCACGGGGACATACGGGGACATCGGTGTCAGCTGCTCGCTCCGAGGGGCACAGCGCGCTCAGTGCCAGCAGCAGCTCGCAGCGATCTCCACACTCAGCCCCTCCCGGGGGTACGGGAAGGAGCCCCTCGGCACAGCCGCGGCGTCAGGGGACGCGGGGACCGCCGGCTGCGCTCCCTCCCGGCGATGCTGCCCGAGGAGCGGGGCCGGGAGAAGCGGGGGGGACCCTCGGGCAGAGCCGGGCTGAGGATGGCACCTCCGGCCCTTCCCTGTGTCCCCTCTCCGCAGGGAGCGTTCGTCCTTCCGGCACGCTCGGAGGAGCTGGGCGTATTTCGTCGCAGAAGCTCCTTTGGACTGAGGTTGTCTTCCTTACAAATGATAATTATTGTAATTACTTAATAGCATGGTGGCATCCAGAGGCCACGGATAATCAGTGGGTCTATTCCTGTTCCTGCTAACAACACCACTCCAGTCTAACCAGTGCCGTGGGCAGAGCCTGCCTGCCTCGCGTGTTTGCAGACATGCTTTGTATGGTCTGGACTCTTCGGTGGTGGGGAAACTGAGGCACGAGGCGCAGGAAGACACTTGCTAATTCCCAAATTCCCCTGGTAGCCAGCGTTGTGTAAAGCGCATGGAGATAAAGGGGGGCAGGCTGCTCGATGGCATCGGGAATGCACTTAAAGGCAGGAATTTGTATTCTGGAAGGACGTTCTCAGTGCTGGGAGCTGCAGCTGCAGAGGCCGTGCTGCTGGCTGCCGGCACCGTGGCCGGTGGGAGCTGGTGGGACGGGGGCTGCCCCAGGGGGTCCCTGCTGCACCCGGGACCGAGCCCCCCGAGCCTGGACCGGCGTGTGCAGGGGCGGCTGGGGCGGTGCAGGAACTGCTGGGCGGTGAAGCCTTTTCAGCTTTTTCCAGAAGTGTGCTCTGGGGACAGTTGGTGGCTTTCTGATGCCATTTCTGGCCTGTGAGGGAGCCCACAGAGCCCTTGTCGCCCAAGGTGCCCTGGCCCAGGCAGCTGCTTTGCACACTGGGGCAGGTGGGCTCCAGATGGGTGCCCAACTCCTTCTCAGAGCTGAAACGTCCTTCCTGGAGAGTGCAGGGCTGCGGGGGTCTGCAGATGAGCTGGGTCTCCTGTGGCCAGAAGTCTCCGGGCCGTGTCCCACTTCCCTTGTCCTGTCGCTGCTGCAGGATCAGCCCGTGCTGGAGATGCCAACAGAGCCCTGAATTTTAGTGCTGGGCACCAGCTGAACTCTCTGGGCTGCATCTCCATCACAAGCATCTTCCCAGGTCCGTGTAGCCACACAGGGCATCTCCAGGGCTCGGAGGATGATGGTATTGCCCATACCCCATTCACTGGGAAGGAAGCAGCAGTGCGGGGTGTTCTTCCTCCCAGGGTGGTGTCTCCTGCAGCCACAGTGCCGGCAGCAGCTCCACGAATGCTCGCCTGCTCCTCCACGGATGTGGCTGAGGGAAGCCCTGGGACACGGAACAAACTCCTGCTGAGCTGCTCCTGCTCCTCACGCGCTGTCTGCCCCTCTCTGCCCGTGCTCCCCGAGGCAGGTCACTCTACCTCTTCATGTCTCATTAAAACAGCGATACCGATGCTCCTCTGCCTGGCAGAGAGGTGGGAACGCCAGCAGGTAGCACAGGGAACAGAGGCACCATGACAGCCGTATTAGCATCCACGGGAGACAGAGGAATAATTTGGTTTCTGCAGCTTCTGAAGGCTCGTGCAGAGGCTTTGTACTCCCGTCTTCCTGACCGTGTGCAGCCTCCATCTGCAGCGCCGGCACATCCGCAGTCGGAGGGGAGCGATGGAAGCTGGGGCTGGTGACCTCGGTGTGCCGGGAGGATGTCGCTCCTCCTTACCTGGCCGATGGGATCCCTTCCATGGGCATAAGCGATGGCACGTGTGGCCACGCCAGCCAGGAGCCCCGGTGGCCCCAGAGAGGAGCCCGCGGGGTGGCCGTGGGTGCTGGTGCCGTGGGGAGGTGGGTGGCAGGGGCTCCCTGTGCCAGAGCCTTCTCTTGGGCCCCGTGGCTGGGAGAGTGACTAATGTTCCCGCAGAGCACTTCAGCCAGTGACCTACATAGGGATGAGTGTGGATCCCTCGGCTCGTGTGAGCCGCCGCTCGCACTGGGACCGGCGTGCTGGTGCCACTCCCAGAACCCCTGGGCGATGCTCGATGCGGGGCTGGGGGGAACTGCAGGGCACAGGCACCCCAGGCATGGCCCTGGTGGCAGGGACAGCGCCTGTGTCCTCGGCCGGGCCAGCCCAGGGATCCTGGGGGAGCCACAGTGGTGTTCGAGCAGAGCCTTGAGCAATGCTGAGAGGGAGAGGGTCAGGCACTGCGAGGTCCATCAGGGACATGGGGAGCTGGCCCTGGGGACAGGAGCTGAGCTGGACTCAGGGAGAGCTGGGAATGTGGCTGGAGAAGGGGAGTCTCCTTGCTGGGGACTGCGAGGGCTGAGCACCGAGGAGGGAGAAGAGCTGCTCGAGCGGAAGCGCTCCATTGGCACGAGTACAGT